GGATTGATTTATATAGGTAATAAAGCAGCCCATGCTAATTTTTACACACTATCTTGAAATTGTTGGGGCATGAAAAGTTAATTTTGTCACATTTTTAGTGACTTTGACAAATTTAACCTAAAATTGTTAAACTTAAGCTCTGATGTTCTGGACAATATTCTAATAGAGGTATAGAATATAGATCTTCAAAATAGGGGCAAGACATGTTTACTTTGTCACATCAGTTATTATAAGAGTTATTATAAGAGACTATTTCATTCTATAATCATTGTTTTTAATCTATTTACGATTTCGTATAATTTTTTGTGGCAATGTAAACATCAACTGATCTTAACTTGCATCAACTACATTGTCATCATATAAAATTTTCCCGCCTTTCAAACCAAAATCAGATATAAATTATTCGCCCAAAATTTTAAATTTCATATATTGTGACAGACTTAACCTCATTTCCCAATAACCAAGTGCCTGTATTAGCTAACTATTCAAAATAACATATTTTAGGGCTATGCTTGGTAGAGCAACCATAAAATAATGAGTTGAAAGGGTATTTAGGACACCTCACAGTAGAATAGAGGTATGGTATCATGAGTGTGACAAAGTTACCCAAATATTGCCTCTTAACCTTTCGATCCGTGCCCATTAACCAATGTTGTATCATAATTGTTAGATTGACCTAATTTACTATATTTCAGACCAAGGAATGATAATTAGACAACTGCAGTTAACTAAGTCACACAAAATGTGACATTTGAAACATTATAGTGCCTAACAACAATAGATTTTCTTTCTGAGCGGTGCATATGGGAGTATGGGTTTCGTGGCTAATGTTCAGAACTTCTGAACGTGCTAGGTTAATAGATGTCAAAATTAAGCCACTATCGTCAAAAACGCTATTATTTTTGTTTACCAATATCCTCAAACTCAAATGAACGTGTCCATGTACAATGTAGCGACGCGCACACGTGCGTATTTGTTAACTTTGCCTCGTTCATGAGTGTATTGTCTGTCGCTAGCGCTGAAACGCTCACGTCCACATCTTGTTGAACATGAGCATTCGAAATTGTAGACAATTCGTTGTTCTGACCTTGTCCTGAAATCGTTAAATTAGATTTAATATTAACGGTATCACTTACAAGTTGCAATGTCAGGGAAATAATTTGTAACCGACCGGTCATTTGTAAACCGTACTCGATTATTGATGCTGAATTTAGATTTACAGATACACTGTTCGAGTGTTAGATCCGACCTGATTCTTGTTTATAGCATATCAACCGCCAAGAGTTTTTATGCTTGGTACTGAAGTGAAAACCTGTTGTTTAACATATTTAGTGACGGTAGGCGACGGTAAGTGTTAGTGTTTAAAAACACTGGCTTGTTTATGACGTATTTAGTTATTGCATTACCCATTAAACAATTTTGTTAGTAAGACAATTACATAAAGGCACTTTATTTATGATGTTATATTGCTGTTCTTTGATCTTTCACTACACAGAACTTTATTGTTTGTGTTTGTATCCTTTGTTTCACGTTATACCCGACCTTTGAATCTCAATGTTATGGTTTTCACACAGAATGTATATCTCTCTTGTAGAAAAGTACAAACTCAGCCAGCCTTGTAAGTGCTTTTGAATTCTGTTAATATCCTCAGTCTGCCATAAAATGCGAAAATTGTCCTGATCGCTATTAACGACGTTAGGGGTCGTTCACATATTACGTAATCAGCTGAGGGGGGGGGGTTTCCCAATGATTACGCTAGTGTAATTTTGACACAATAGCTATGTGTAAAACTGATTACGGAGGGGGGGGGGGGGGTAAAAATGTTCCAAAACATTATTACATAGTATGTGAACGACCCCTTATAATATATTTTATCAGACTTTTACTTAAGTATACATTACTTTATCATATTTTATTGATCTAAGGTGTAGTATTGCCAGATCCCAATTCAATTTGTAACGGAGTTTTATATTAATAGGAAACGATGTAACAGAGTCAATATATTTACATGTTGCCATGGGGTCAGGGGTGGCGTAGTCCGATAGTTTCACTGCGTCATAATATAACATTATCAAAACTCTGTGTCAACACGCTTAAAGTTCTTGACTAAGAGGTTGTCGACTTACTCCTAATAGTATATTCTTTTTAATTGGTGTCGTGTTTTTATATTGCTCCCCATTGGGGCTCACTTCTCCGTCTGCTCTAAAATCCTAGCCACGTGGCTGACGTATATTATACATATATTATACGTATATTATACGTATATTATACGTATATTATAGACTATATATACCCTGACCAAATTTCAAGCGACTAAAAGCACATAATAAATTTAACAGGAATTCAGTGACAAAAACTCAAGCTATTCCTCACATAGATAAAACACATCGTACAATATAAATATAATAATAAGATATTGTAATTCATCACTAAATTTCGTTTTGTACATAGTTTTTGGTCTGTACTAATTGCTTAGTGCTGACACGTCTGATTCGTTCGGGAAGCCACTCACTAACCAACTGGACCTAGGGTTCCAGTGAATGTGACTTGCTTTAGTCTTTCGGCAATGTTTTCCAGAAACTCCGTTATTTTGTGAATGCAACAAACTTAAGTATGTTTTGCTGGATTATGTCGTGTTTTTCTCTTAACTTCCTTGCCCGCAAATCTTTCTACAGTTTTAAAATTACCCACATTGACGTTCTTCATTACAATTATAATAACATAAACCCGCCACGCAAAGGGTTTATATAACAGATCATCCCGCGCTAGCGGGATGATCTGATAAACACATACGAGTGCGCGCAGCGCACGAGTTTTGTGTTAATATGTAATCCCGAAGCGCCAGCTGAGGGATTATATTTATTTAGCCCTGAGCGTGAAGTGTTTATGGATTATAATTATCTCCGGCGATTTCGACAAGGGATTTATACTTTAGAAGAGAGTGATAAATGTCAAACCGATCTGTCATAGTGGAGCAATAGCTTGAACGTTAGCAGGAACAAGAGCTGGAAGGAGAGCAAGCAAAACAATACTATTTTTAGGGCACGGACAAGGGTAGCTGGCTAGTCGCCAACTTCTCACGCCACGCGTTGGAGAAATTCCAAGAATTTAAATTAGCTGCTTTGGCAACGTTCCCAGGAATTTGCGTGTAAAAGAAGTGGACGGTTACGATGTTTCATATCACGTGGTGCGCTTTCGTGTCACGTGGTATAGACTCGGCGTATGCTATTGGTGGCACGTGGTACGCACGTGACGCGCCCACGTGATCGCGCGTCTAACTGTTCTACTATTATCGAGTTCTAATCAGCAGTATCATTGATTATTGTAAGTCGGAGAATTGAATGATAAACATCAGTTACGACTAAAAAGCGGGCCGGGTTTATACAAATTTCCGGGGCGGGATGATATCACCTTGAGATGTTTATCTAACAGCGGGCCGGGCTGAGTGATAATATGATCCCGCGTCGAAATCCCGGAGATATTTATAAGCTAATAAAAGTGAAGTTGAGGACTGAGAGACTGGGGAATACAGTAGTAACAGTAATACTTTATTAAACTTACAAGTAACGAATACAAATTACATTTCAGTTGTTGTATCAGCGCATAATAAACATTACAGTCTAACAACGCTAATAAGCCATAGTCGTTTAATATTGCATGTTTAATGATAGGAGTTAGATTTGACAGCGTACACCTTTAAGCTCCTGAGGATTGTGGAGAGCTGACAGTGTTCTAAATTCAGATTTTGAATAGTAACGTTAGTTAGTATGGTCAGGAATTTGAGACGCGTACATACAAAATGTCGGCTTTATTATATATCGTAATTCGTTGCTTAGTATTTGCGGCCAAATATGATCATCCATTAAAAGTGATATTCATTCTCCTTGTTTTGTGAAATTTTTTAGCTTTTTACGAAGGTAACTGGTAACGTTAAATGTTACGACACCGCTCAACTGTATGATCTCATGTTAACAGAAGCGTCACGGTGAGGCACTACATTGTCGTGATTATATTTCTGGATCCTTACAGAGTGTCTAGATATGGAGTAGTAGAAGGAGTAGAAGTGTCGGAGAGCGTGCCAACCCATCTGAGATAAAGTTGTCACTACCAGTGCCGAGTTATGCCGGCGCTAACTACCTTATATGGATGCCCTAGCTCGTTCTGCCTGGTATTACCTCCCCTCTTCCCTTTACAACTACTGCATTCTCCGATAAACATTCCTTTATATATATTGTTTCTGGGCTGATATCTCATATTTTCCCTTAATTTCCATTGAAGTGTAACTTATTATGTGTGCAATTTATTATATATCCCCCTTTCACGGCTTTAACTCTAGATTTGGCGAAGTCTTATTTCCGCACGTTTTACTCCATCCTGTGCCTGTTTGTCTCGTTTGAGATGAGTTTATTTTTATTTCCGTCCAAGCTTGTGGAACTTCAATTTTTTATTTAGTTTTCGAGTTCTACCATCTTTATACGTTTGGCCAGTTTTAGTCCGGACTTTGCCAGTCGCCCTGCCATGGCTCTCTTGCTTGGGCAGGCCAGACTTATAGTTGTATACAATCTGTGTACAAATAAGGTAGGTATACATAATACAGGCTAACTGACAGTGGTTACATTCGTAAGTGTAGCATTTACGTCAACCCACTCTTAACAGCTTAACCAGCTCAGAATGTGAAAACTGAGCTGGTTACAAATAACATCTTCAGAAATAATCAGTCTTATTATTGAGGATTCATCACTTCGTCGTATTTTATAATTTGAGTCTTAACTCGGTACTTCGAAAAAGCCGTTTACATCTTAATGATTTAAGCGATTACTTGTACATTTATCATGTTATTAAAGCAATTTAACTTCCGTATTATCGTCTATTCTAATTTTAGTGCTCTGGTTGTCATCGTTTTCTTTCTTTAACTATCTCGAGATCCCTCGTTTAAAAACTGTCCACTTCAAACCCCAACATTTACTTTGTCACCTCACCTTATTAAAACTTACTAAATGCAGTTTATTGCGGTTAGCTCAATGTCAGAACCAACCACCTACGCTGCAGTGACCCACGGTGCGTTAACTCACGGCAGCACCACTTACTATGCACTTAACTCCACTGGAGGAACAGTTGCTACTGTAGAAAAAGAAGCAGTGGAAACACACGACAACATATGGTCGGCACGAGAGTTGAATATCCTGGGTGGTTTCCTGTGGTTAGCAGTTATTATAACACTGGTCGGTAACCTCTCCTGCTTCTACGCGGTCTGGAAGAACCTTAAGAAGATTCTAGAACACCCGTTTTTCCAGTCAAATGTATTTTGTGTGTTATTGTCAGTGGTGGATGTGTTGCTGGTGTTACTGGTTGGAATACCTGCTGCTGTCTTCTTTACTGCTGAGTCAGAGTGGCTTGGTAACTCTTTCTATAACTTGTGAGTTTACATACTGAAAGTAAAACTTGTTAAGTGTTCAAACAAGGGTCGACCCGAGGGCAGGATTTGCGGCCGAGGCCGAGGCCGAGGAAATTTTGCTTTGTAAAACGAGGCGAGGACAACCGAGGTTCCTTTTGTTGGCCGAGACGAGGCCGAGGAAAAATCGCTTTTCCTCGGTAAAACCAAGTCCGAGGCCGAGCGAGACTCGGTCGACCCTTGCAAATGTGACAATTTCGCGAGGCGAGGAGAATAGCAACTTATTGTTTCCCGAGGCACGAGGCAACCGAGGAATAGTCCTCCTGAACGAGGCCGAGGCCGAGGAAAAAATCGCTATTCCTCGGTAAAACCGAGGCCGAGGGATGAGGATCGGTCGACCCTTGTGTTCAATAACTGTTCATTCTCTAGTTTAAGTACTAAAAGTAAATCTTGTTAAGTGTTTCTTCTCTATTTCATGTTTGACTGCAGATCTGTATTAAAACTGATAATGGTCCACATTCAGTTCTCAGCTTAACTCCAAGCACCAAGTAATGAGGGTAATACATTTCAGAGCGATGGTGGAGGCTATTCTTGACTACCTAGTGTGGTTACAGCTCCTGCTAGTAGTTGCTATCTGTCTGGACAGGGCTGGACACATCTGCAGACCACTTACGTACACCTTCTCTATAAAAGCCAGGAAAACAACTGCTGCGTGTTTGTTCTGTGTTATCATCCCCTTCCTCCTACTCACTGTGCCGTATATCATTGTACTTAACAAGAGCATGGCTATCGCTGCAGAAACTGTTAGCTCCCTTGACGATAGAGAAATAGCAAGGTCTTTTATCGAGAGATCGACCTTCAAATGCAAATCTTATGCTTACAATAACGGGACTGATGCAGACATCAACATATTCATGAGTAAGTTAATTTGAAGGTTAACAAAACCCCATGTAACACATTACAAGTATGTACATTGTGCAATGCGCTACGTATGTTACGTATGTTTGTACAGTGCAATGTAATGCTGATCTGATAAGAATGTTCCAGGTTGCACAGTGATGACTCCACCTAAAGATAAGTGGGAGGGTGGTAAACACTTCCTGAAGTGGGAGAATGTGGCACATCCCATGGTCCTCCTGGCTGCTATCCTGAGTCTGCTGGTTTCCAATGGGCTCATCATCCGCAAGTTGGTCGAGAGCGCTGCTTTCCAGAAAGACAACGCTAAACGACAAGAAGAGTTAGTATTAACAATTGTCTGTGATGTGATGAACGCTATCTTCTTATTCTATAAAATAATGAAACATCGCCAACAAATTGATTCGATAAACTTATTATTTTTGACAATACTTAATCGCTTGAAAAGTAAAATATCATATCCCCCCTGTTAGGGTAGCTAAAAGTATCCGCATGAGCTCCATAGTCTCCACACTACAAGCAGTGACACTGTTAGTGTGTACCTTACCTATGAGAGTCGCTCAGATGGAGAAGAGATTTGAGATTTGGGAAAGAGTGTGACACTTCAATTAAAGATAACGAATGTGTCTTTAATGCTACTAAATATTCCCATGTATATTGATATCTTTTCTTATAATAAATAACGTACAATAAATAGCTTATAATAAATAACATAGCTTAAGTGCTTTTTATTTGATACGTGGATGAATAGTTTATTTTCTCGTAATAGTGTTAAAACCGCTTAAAGTGATACTCTGCAGCATTACATAATGATAACTAAAGTGCTAGTGTTTCTGGGACCAATGGTGAATCCCTGGCTCTACCCTATCAGGATGGCGAGTATAAGATCCTTCCTCGCAACCAAGAAACGTTCAGTTGTTTCATCAGGTCAGTAAATATACCGTAATTTGGCAGCATCTGAAGCAAGGTCAAAAGGAAATCACGGCACGTGCGGAATCGCGATTTTTTCCCATTCCCATGTTTGAAACTGTTCCGATGTATCGTGAACAGTGAACACCCGGTACATTGTGAAGTTATGTACGTATAACTAAACATTTAGTATTATTGGAAAGTGTTGCCCTAGTTTGGCTTGTCGCGGCGCCCCGCGATTTTTGGCCTTATAACGCGATTTTCTTTTGACCTTGATCTGAAGTAAAGAGAGGGGGATGGGGGTATAAAGGGGGGGGGGGGGGCACTGATTTAGCCCAACCTGTCAGGTGAATTGTGAAGAGTGTGATTTGTTTGATTGTGACCGAGCAGAACTATATTTAATATCGGTAGGGTATGTGTAAAATAAGAGTATGCAACTCTCTATAAGTAGCCTAAAGAATGTCAGACAGCGAGAAATAATGGGAGGCATGCTGAGTGAGGCTGGGTGAAACAATAGTAGTTGCTCTGGATCTCACTACTTCTAGTACTTGTATTAACACCGCTCAGAGAAGTGTGCGTGTCTGAAGAATGAGGCCGGTATTTGTAATCTACTGTTACTACTACTACTACTAGTAATAGTACTTCTATTACTACACAATGACTGACGGATAAGCTAGTACGGATAAGTTTATATTACGGATAAATGTACTGTGCTCACGTTGTGTAACCGCAAGTGTGAACTGCTTCAATTTGAAGATGCTGTGAGAAGTGCGTGTGAACTGCTACAATGTGAAGATGCTGTGAGAAGTGAGTGTGAACTGCTTCAATGTGAAGTGCTGTGGGAAATTGCGTTGTGAACTGCTACAATGTAGAAGATTGCTGTGAGAAGTGCGTGGATGAAATGCTCCCAATGTGGAAGATGCTGTGAGAAGTGCGTGTGAACTGCTAACAATGTGAAGAATGCTGTGGGAGAAACGTGCGTGTGACTGCTTCAATGTGAAGATGATGTGAAAAGTGCGTGTGAACTCTACAATGTGTAGTTGCCTGTGAGAAGTGCGTGTGACTGTTCAAGTGAAGATGCTGTGAGAAATGGTGTGGAAACTTGATACAATGTGAAGATGCTGGAAGTGCGTGTGTAACTGCTACACTAAGAAGATGCTGTGAGGAAGTGCGTTGTGAACTTGCTACAATGTGAAGATGCTGTGAGAAATGCGTGTGTATGCTACAAAGTGAAGATGCTGTGGAGAAGTGCGTGGTGATTGTGAACTGCTCAATGTGAAGATGCTTGTGAGAAGTGCGTGTGAACTGCTTCAATGTGAAGATGCTGTGAAAAGTGCGTGTGAACTGCTACAATGTGAAGATGCTGTGAGAAGTGCGTGTGAACTGCTACAATGTGAAGATGCTGTGAGAAGTGCGTGTGAACTGCTACAATGTGAAGATGCTGTGAGAAGTGCGTATGAACTATGAACTGCTACAATGTGAAGATGCTGTGAGATGTGCGTGTGAACTGCTATAATGTGAAGATGCTGTGAGAAGTGCGTGTGGTTGGTGGTGGAACAGTAATCCTAAATCCAGCTGGAGAGATATTCTTATTGAACTAACAGATCTACAAACATCTGCTTTTCAGCAGTGAGACGCTTTACAGTAACCAGTAGGACTAGGAGTTCTGAGTATCGTTCAAAACACCACAAAACGTTTGTATTGCTGCTGTGCTGTTAACCGCATGTTGAATGTTTTGCTGTTGTTGCCATGGATTAAATGCTAATCATTCTAATTATCATATTACGTAATTGTAATAAGGATTAAAGTTTTCTTTTCAGACCTGAGTGGGGTTGTTGTACATTGTATTTGTAACACAATAATATGATTGTGTTTCTCCAAATTTGTCTGTTGTTCGTATTTTGAACGACGTGAAAATTTGTAGTTGGTTTATATTTAATTCGTCAAATCCATTGTTATCTGTTAATGTGTTTGCAAGTGCATGGTTGTTTTAATATTTACTGCTTCTGTTTCGGATAATCATCAACGGCTTGTAGTAACCAAATACATGTCTGATTTTCCACGTTCTCTTCAGAAATCAATTGGAAAATTTTGAAGAGAAACTCATTTAATAAGACTAAATACCAGTTTGCGGCTGCATCAAATACTTTTTGTTTACGTTTTTCAGTGAACTCGGATATATTTATTTCAACCTTATTCCCCATTTTATTATCGAAATAATCGTAGAGATGCAGATATTGATGAAAACTCAGTTTATCATAATATGACAATGTTCTTAAAAACTCTGATTCTCAACAATTCAAATGTCGTTTTTTAATGTCCGCCATGGTCTGGATGGTGGGATGATATCGTTTAATTAGATCTTTGACGAAAAACACCATATTTATATCTAAGAGAAACCTGTATTTCAGTGAATACGTCACTCTTGAGACTGAGGACCGGAGGAACCATGGTGAACCTCAATCTGTCGATGGCAAGTCAAAAGAATACGGTCGTGTCTGAGAGTACTAATGCTTGAGAAGCTTTCTGAGAGCTCTACTTTTACGAAGACTAAATAAAAAAGTGAAACATAAAGTCGTAGGACTCATCAAAATTAAATAACGATCGTTTTTTAACGCCTTATTGAATGGAATTCACAAAGATAATTATCGTGCTGACGCTTTTGATTTCGAATTTTATAATTATAGACAGCATAATAGTAATATATTACTATTATAATTTTGATGTATGAAATGTAAAACTTTACAAACCTCAACACATTATTATTAATCAATCATTCATCTTTTAATTAGTAGTGGATCGAATTGAATATGGTAAATAGTTCTTTATCGCAGTTGAGAGTTATACTAGAAATTTACTTTTATCAAAGAAAATACTTTTATATTCCGTTAGTAATTTTCACTGAAATTCTTTTAGTTGATTTGAAAGTGTTATTTAAATTATGGGTGACCGAGTTTGTAATAGCTTCTGAAACAAAAAGTAACAATATGTCATGTGTCAGCAGTGGGAAGAATGTCTATTTACTAATTAATTATGATCATTCCGTGTCTAACTAATTACCTATAACATATTAAAGGTACCGTTAGTAGACAAAACATTTGTTAAATAACAATTATATTTAAAGAAATTTCTGAATTCTTATTATTTAATTCTAATTTTTTAATTTAAATGTCGAGTGTCACTTTTTATCTTGAGACGCACGTTTTAATTGTCTGGTAGTGGTTCACGGATGATACCTTCGCCATAAATATAGCAAGTAACGGCAGCCAATTAATATAAGGTTTATGGTTAACAAACACCCAAATAACTATATGGGGAAGGTACATAATCTGATAGTAATGTATTGTAGGTTCTGGTTAATATTAATAAGTGTAACCTACCAATGGCAATACGCGCACCGAGTTGGACTCGTAGACGGTGATCTTGGACATTGGAACAAATATTTTACGAATATCATATCATTATCACCCGCTAAGTAATGAACAACTCTTCACTTAACTGGGGACCCCAGGCTATTATATTTATGTTCATAATAGAGATTAGACGGAAACAGAATGACAGGCTGAGCGCCGCCCAGTAACTCTTCACCTGTAAAACTAAATGTAAGCCCTACTGGGGGGGGGAGGTACCAATGGCATAAAATGGCATAAAATTGCATCAAATGGCATACATTTTTATGGCATAAATGGAAATTTTCATTGGCCAATTCTCCATTTATGCCAATTTATGCCATGAATTTAGGTCTTCATATTTCACCTTTAGGATGACTTTAAAGTTTAAATTCGCAAATTATTATTAGTACTTGAATAAGAGACATGTTTCATGCTTTATAACGCTTGGAATGTTCGTAAAAGATTCATATGACAAATAAAGAAAATAGAAATATATTATATCAAACATTTGACTATTCAAGAAAAGCAAATTGTGAGATGTTCAAAATGTACAGAATACAAACATTGACAACACAACGATTTTGAATGTCATCAAATAACAATGCATCTGATGTATTTGTCTTCGACGAGTAGCCAAATATTATACATTTATCACATGCCTTCTCATGCGATATCAAAACTTTCGCCCACGAGGCTTGCCGAGTTAGCGAAAGTTTCGATATTTCCCGAGGCTTGCCGAGGGTTATATCGACATTTTCAATCACGAGGCTTGCCGAGTTTTGAAAATGTTGATATCGCATGAGAAGGCATGTGATTAATGTTTTATCACACTTTCTTTGGAGCCAAATTTGGCCGGGAAAGCAGAATTTGATCAAACGTTAGTTATAAATCTCACCAAAGCAAAACTAGACATGTCGAACGTTTATAATGTCCAAGCTATATGTATAGCTCTCGATGAGTTAGTATTTCAGATATCGAAGATACAATACGTAAAATTAGGATCTCACGTTTTCACATTTATGACACAGTGAATGCTGTACGACGCGCCCAATTTGCTTTCTTATACTGATACGTAGTGCATGTAATATTAAATATATTCACGCCTATGGGTCTCGTACTTATTGCAGTCTAGAATATTCCACCACAAGCGCGTCTTTGAATCATAAATTATATCCTAGATATCAATCAATGTGAGGTGATTCTTATACTTTATTTCTATTAGATATATTTTGAGTCATTAAAACTGAAGATGTATAATGTATAGAACATCTGTTTTAGTGTTGATTACATCCTAGTCCTTATCATGTAATACTAATCTGCGATAAGGTGATAGTATTTCCTGGTTGTTATATTTGAATTGGGCTGTGGCGCCATGATTGTCTATTCATAAGTCCACATTATACACTGCACACCCTAATTTACACCAACAATATTATCGTCCGTCTTGATTCTTGATTGTCTGTTATTTCAGAATGATTTAATCAATGCAACTTGTAATCGTTGACTTAGAATTTTATCAAATATTCTGCTTAGATCTTAGTCAGTATACATCTTTACTTGCCATTATTTGCCATTATTTGGAGCCAAATTTGGCCTGGAAAGCAGAATTTGATCAAACGTTAGTTATAAATCTCACCAAAGCAAAACTGGACATGTCGAACTTATTTATGTTTATAATGTCCAAGCTATATATAGCTCTCGATAAGTTAGTATTTCAGATATTAAAGATACAATACGTGAAATTAGAATCTCGCGTTTCACATTTATGACACAGTGAATGCTGTGTGCCGCGCTGAATTTGCTTTGTACTGATACCTAGTGCATGCAATATTAATGTGTTTTCCGCCTATTGGTCTTGTACTTATGAGTCTAGAATATTCCGCCGCGAGCGCGTTTGATACGTAATTACATCATGCAAATCAATTGATGTGAGGTGATTCTAATACTTTATTTCTATTAGATATTTTTAGAGTCATTAAAACTGTAGATGCAGTATAATGTATAGAACATCCGTTTAAGTGTTGATTATACATCACAGTTCTTATCGTATAATCTGTATCTACGATGAGGTGAAAGAATTTCCTAGTTCTTGTATTTGAATAGAGCTGTGGGGTCATAATTAGTGTCTATTTATCAGTCCACATTATACACTACACTCCCTAATTTACATCAACAATATTATCGTCCGTCTTGATTCTTGATTGTCTGTTATTTCAGAATGATTTAATCAATGCAACTTGTAATCGTTGACTTAGAATTTTATCAAGTATTCTGCTTAGTTCTTAGTCAGTATTCATCTTTACTTGCCATTATTTGCCATTATCTGCTTCGAGCTAGAAATTATCTGAACTGGAAATTATCAGAACATTTGTAATATTCAAATGTATCTCTTCAACATTTTAGAACGCAGTACTCCACCAGCCTATAACCACCCTGGTCATGGCCAGGTAGTTCACCCGTACTGTTACCAATATTGAATTGGTCTAATGAATGGCAGCACATTAATCATCGGACCTGTTTGCCCCAGTGCCCAGACTAATTTATAACCAGATTAGCTGATTAAGTTACGTCATTCGTCCCTTGATATATTTATATAAATAATATATTTTATAGGATGTTTTTATTGCACTTATTTGCACTAACTAAAATTCAGTTAAAACTAGTCCTGGGATAGAATTTCCGCTCTTTATTGTACAGAATCTACATATAAGTCTCTTTATCAGTCTGTTTATAGATCAGCCACGAATTTCGCAAGCTAATCTAGGCGAAACCGGTTTGGAAAAGCCAAGCATAATTTCTGCACAATTTCTATATGGAATATGGCTCAAAGAAGGGATCAGAGGGGGTTAAAATTGAGGTCTGAAATGGCTGAAATCTGGCTTTGTTTTGTGTGTTTTCTTCGTTCGAATTAATCAAACATCGTCTAGTGTTTACTATTTTTTGTGAGGGTGACTGTAGTTTGTTCTGACACTTCCTTTTTAATTTCAAGTAAGCGATTAAGGAAATTAATTATCCTGACTGATTGTATCGCTGACAAGTACCAAAACTTTGTTAAACTTTCAAGTCTGCTTGTAAACTTTGATCTCGTTTTCAATAACCTTAAGTCACTTAAAGCTCGTACAAGCCAGGGAGTTTTTACTTTGTTTCATCATCCGAAGCCTAATTAAGCTTTGAACTATAAAGTGCAATAAAAAGGGAACAGCTTGAAAAAGTTTTACAACAAAAAATTTTATTTTGCTTGACGCATCTCAAACACAGGGAAATATTTTCAAAACCAGTTATAAATATAAATTTTTCCTTATCCTGGAAAGTTCATCTGATCATTGCATTAACGGTCATAGACTACTTCGGGTTGTTGATTTAAATCTTTATTTAAATCAGTACCTCACAGTAGTAGAACAGTTGTTGAGAGTGGGCTCCTTGTTCCTATGGGAATATCGGGCTCTCTCTGAGCAACTGATTGATATTTCATGCCCCCGGGTGAGAGCCAGTGCTCCCCATCGGGGCATGTAATATCAATTCTGCTTTCCTGCCAAATTTGGCTCGAAAGTGTGATAATAAGAGATCCATTGATTAGGCTATGCTCCTGGCAGTAGTACTTCATCGGGCATGACTTATAAGAAATAAATCTAACCACTCCTGTTGCAAAGTCCTGCTGAGATTTGAAGACTTTAAGAGTTTCTGTACTGCCAGCTTTCAAAACTGTTGAACATCCGCATTCAGGTTGATTGTATATGTAATGCGAACATCAGAATACACTCCAAACGCTTTCCCCTTGAATCTTGAAAGACGAGATTTTGTTGATAAAGTGCTTCTTCCTCCATTGAGCGTGAGTGTCTCAAAAGACCTATAGAAAACTGAGTTCATTGGTATTTAGTGTATGCTAGTCAAGCTCTAGTCACGTAGCACGAACGGCAGGGCGTACCGTATGGTAGAAAGGAAACAAGTAACTAAAATGGCGAAATAAATAGATAATTAATACAAAGTGAACGTCAACAAACAAAAACTTCTAAGTGTTCGCTCCAAACGATTGACGTGATTTATAGATCACACGATGTGTCTAATCACAACTGATACTGATAGTGCTCAGTAAGACTGGCTACCGTCAATACGAATTACGAATCCCTTAAAATGATTAAGGGGCAACTAAGAAGTGAGCTCTCCACTTCCGGCTCTCCGGGTATACTCTCAAAACTCGTCACGCCATACTGCGTGACGGCACAACGCATTAGCTTGCACCACGTGACACGCCGTCTCGCCAATGAGCAATCCACTAGCAGTCACCCTGCGGCCGCAAGGACCAACCACAGGCTTGGCTGACAGTCAGGTGCAAAAGTGAGCGGACGGCTCATTTCAGACAGTAGGTCTGACAGTAGGTCTGCCAGCTAACCGACTTACACTAAAAATGTGTAACTCCCAAATACGAACATATAAAAACATTGGTTATTATATACCCGGAAACACATACTAAATTCTACGTCCCTTAAACGTTATACTAAAACTGAGATATCCTAAAAGATATCTCTAAATACCATATTACAACAGACCGGAAGGAAAGTGTTCCATATTTATCTGTTGATATCGTTTCTCCATCATCACAATCATCAACTCCAGGTTCTACCTCATAAGCTAAGTCGTCCTCATCCTCGAGGCATCCAGCTTCATCATCTACAGCTTCCCAAGAAAGTACTTGGCCATGGACGATTGGCTTCCCACTCTGTTCTTCAGGATCTGCGACTGCGGCGAACACAAGGAAATTGTGTCTTTTCCCTTCTCG